TCATGGAATTTGTGGGGGACGATGACAGGCTTTCAAACTTCAACTTTTTGTGCATTTCTGCTTTGCCGCGCGCTACAGGGGGGGAGTGTCAGTCAGGGACGCAGGCGGACACTGGGGGAGGGGGAAGAACGTACACCTGACGCCGCTGCGCGCGTCTCGTGAGGCGGTGTGCTGAAATCGAACGGGTCCAGTGCATTGCACATCGCGGGCTGGGGCTGCTGGTACGATGCTGACTGCCTTTTCTCCGGCGCCCCAGCCCTACGGGGTCATGCCGCCCCAGCTTCACAGGCCGCGCGACGAGCGTTGGCTTGGCTGCACGGTCGTCTTTGTTCTTGCTATTGGTCGAATTTCCTGTGCCGTCCATCGTTTGGGGCGGATATCGCAATCACGGTATTGGGTGAATCGTTGCGGGGAATGTAGAATATCGTGGGCGGGCGGGAAAATAAGGAGATGCCACCCATTGTGCGGCGGCTTATATAGCGTATATCCTGGCGCTTTGGTGTTATGACGGGGGACCAAAGCTGCGCCCAAGCGCTGGCCCATGCGCATCAAAGCGTGGAACAATGAGGTGCGTGATCGTCATTCCTCTGCGTGATCCTGCGAGTGTCGAGAGTCGCTCCTTGGCGTACGCATTTCTGGCCGCTGGGGAAGTATAAGAGGACGCTAATTTGCGCGTGAAGGGAGAGCTGAGGACGTTGTGAGGAGGGTCGAGGGAGAAAACGGAAAAGATCGGTGAGGATCGGTGATCCCGAACTTTGGTGTACACACATTTTCTCACGCTGCCTCTTGTCCCAAACCACGATGCACAAAGCCGCATCGACTCTGAGCCAAGTCTTTAATTGGGCTCAGATGCAATGCTTTTGAAATCGTTGGAAAATTGCCCGCCGATACTTCGAATTCTGGAGTCTGGACTGACGGGATTTACTCTGGCGCTCATCTGGCGCTCAAGGAATGGAAACTCTTAGCCGGGCTTCAAGATCCTTTCCTTCCGCTTCCAACTAATACTTTCTTTTGAAGTACGCGCCCGCGTTACAACATGAAACACTTAGATGTGCTTCTCAGAACTGCATTTGACGCACATGCGTCGCGAACGGCGTGTCTCCCCAGGGTTCGACTCGCGTCCTGGCTAGAGACTGCATGGGCCATAATTGTGACTCGAGTCTCGGCCCCGCAGCGACACGCCAGCAATAGAAGGAGCTATCACTATCAATTCAAAAAAGTACAATTGACGCAGTGCCATCGTGACATCTCTCAAGGCTTCTGGCGGGAAACTTTACACCCAGGATTGGTTATATGAGAGGAAAGTACGTTGACGCCGCCCAGCTAAGCCCCCGAAGGAACATCCTTCTCACAGCAGCGTCCCCCCCATGTTAGAAAATATCCGCCAGAAACATTGGGCAAAATTCATCACACGCCCCGACAACTGAAGCGGCAAGGGTGAAGCTTGTCCTCTGCTGTATGGCGTCATTTTTTCTGGTTAAAGAGATCGACCTCCAGGAGCGAGTCATGCCCAAGCGTGTACTTTTGCCCGACGAAAATAGTGTTTCTCTCGCTGTCTCAAAAAAAAGCGAATCGGGTGCGTTAACAGCCTTGGCTTCAAATACCACCTCGCCGTGTTTCCTCTCAACTCCCACTTTTTTCCAGATGTTACCCCTCCGAGAATGTTGGTTGACGATCTCCGCGTTACGGCGCGCCTGGCGAGGTGTCCGTCAACTTCTTATTTGGCCAATCACTGACCCGCAAAGAGTATACATTCTCCGAGAAGATTCTGGATATGCAATCCCCGCAGGTGCGCGCGCGATGGTATTTATAATTTCGGTTTCGCCGCTCACATTGCGTGCATTTCTTCAGGAGGATACCTTGTCGGCATTTCTTGCTTCATTGGATGTGTGTACGTTGCGCCTATCTAACGGCCAGGTCGACTCATAAAAATGCAGGAACTTCAGGCCCCAAGCATGCTACCGAAAGCTCCAGAGGCGCCAAAATCAACTGAGGTGACACTGCAGGGACCTTCAAGATCTCAATGACCCTACGATAGCAGAGTCTAGGTTCGGGTCCCACGTTACCCACCCTAGGCCTAACTTCGTCCCGCCGGCTTCGAACTTGGAGGTGACTTGTTCCTTGGCACCGTTGCTTTCTGGCCTTGGCTGATTTCGACATGGAGGATCGACGCGCGCAAACTACGAGCAGAGGGAGTCCTACGAAGGAGCAGGTGGCGAATCACCCTGTACGTACTTCTATTTTCGACTTCATTTCAAAACCCACTCACTATTGATTCCATAGCTTCTTAATAACAAACACAGGGACGATGCTGACGTGACACCTTCCCTGTCCGATTCGGAGGTGGTATTATCTGCGACATTCCTAACCGCTGACTAAATTTCGGGCAGAGTATTCTGCTTTCGTCGGCGATCGATCCACTCGACATGATGGTCGCGGACGAATCTATGGCCAAGGCCAATGTCGGCGACTCTGTTCTACCTGTCGAAAAGTATGGAGCACAGCTTATTAACGTGCGCTTCTATAATTCTTCTTCCCCACCCATTACTTTAATACTTGGGTGCTGAAATTTTCTTCATACAGACGGATAATGAGTGCACCACTGTAGCTTCAAGTGTCATATGTACCGTCGCAGCTCCTGCCTTGCCGCTTGTGTGATTATCATCCTACGCTTCCGACGTTGAATCGCTTCGACTGAAGCTATCACTTAGGATGACCGAACCTCAAACGCACCGACTTATATGTCCCGATATGTTTCCACCGCGGTGAAAATTCCCAAATTTGTACTTGTAGGTGGTCCTTGGTCTTGATATACAAACGCTGAATCTGGGTAGGCTGAAAACGGCACGGAGTCTGTGAGCTTTGTAAGAAATGCAATCGCCCAGGATGGTGTTACGAAGACACAAAACCCCTCCAGGTAAGTCGTTTCTGGTCGCCTTGGCTTATCCTAAATAATTCTAGTCGCATCATCCAACGATCAGGCGGACGATTCCTACGCTGCTGGAAATTCTGGATCTCCCAGTAATGGAACCCCACGTACCGGACCGGACCCCATTCCCCCTGATTCTGAGGTCTCATTCCCTTGGAAAGAGCTTGTGAGCGACGCGGCAGTTTGCGCCTTTGGAGTTGGCGCTTCATGGCTTGTCCGATATGGGATGAATGCTGCAGTGAAGACAAGGTGCAAAACTTTGCTCACGAACAAATACTGCTACGTGTCTCAACTGACCAGGCTATCACCGCGTTCCGACCCCTAGTAGACCGACTTGATCTACACTGCGGCTATGTTCGGCTACCTCGATCTACGTCTGGCTACTACATTGGTCTACAGGGGGTCGTAGACGAATGTCTGGCTATGTTCAGCTACGTTCGGCCGGCGTAGCCGAACATCCGTGTACCTCAGTCTACCAGAGTCTACCTCTGTCTACATGCGTAGACCAACCGTAGACCAAAATTGGAGAACACAGGACTTTTCATCGAGCGTGTCGAAAAATTGCCGCGGCACCCAGTCTACCCTCGGTCTACGCCGCTCAAGGTATGTCTACGTCCGCGGACGGTCCGCCTACCCCTGTAGACCGACGTAGACAGAAACGAGAAACCGAGGTAGACACAGGTCAGTCTACCCCCGGCCTACCTCAGTCTACATGCCTCGGTCTACATTGTGTCTACTGGGGGTCGGAACGCAGTGTATGCGTACCTTTCCGCATTAGCGAAGTCCAGACATTTTATACCCAGTACGTCGCAACTTTTTCGAGCTGAATTCGATACTCATTCCACCCATTGGAGGCTGCTAAATTTTTACCGGACATGGCCGCCAAAATTCTGCCGCACTGGCTGCTCACAGCGCCACGGTCCTCGGTCTCGAGAATGGGTCTCGACATTGATCTGTTGTTAGTTCATCAAAAAGTCTGAACAAGACGATTCCTGGCCAAAGTTCCTTGCAAAGCTGCTACTGGAGCTCCGGAGCCCTCTTTTATTGCGGCTGTTCGATCCTCCTCATCTCCATCGTCCAAAAATTCAGCCAGCTTGATTGCTAAATACCGCAACCCGATCTGGACAGGGATAAAATGTGAAGCACAGAGCGCCTGCGGCTGGGCGAAACAGTGTTGCACGCCTGTAATGCGGGCTTCGCGCAGTGTACTGTGGAGGTGAAACGTGAAGCACAGAGCGCTTGGGACGAGGCAGTGAAATGCTCAATCCCCAAAATCCGCGCGGTGCGCGCTTTGCTGGACAAATACGGCAAAGCAATATGGACGGGGATAAAACGCGGAGCACAGGGTGCTTGGGACTGGGCGAAGCAGTGCTGCAAGTCTACGATGGAGAATTCGGGCAATCCGCTGCCAACGGGAGTGGAAGGTGGAGAGGCGAGCGGTTCGGACGAGAGCCCGATTGCCGCAACCCAGGCGTCGTGCGACTCACACCGCGAATCAGTTCAATCGGTTTGGACGCGAATAATAAGTGCACCACGAAGGGCGTGGAAGTGGGTGAAAGGCTGGTTTTGAGTTGGAGAATCGTGTTCGTCTGAATTTACCCAGTTCGTCTGTTAGTTTACTTCGTCTGTATGTTTTGTTCAACTTGCGAAAATCAATCGAGCTCGCCACTTATGGCACTTGGACGCCCTGGATACGTGCGTGGGTTGAGCAGACTCATTATGTTCTTCGCGGTTTGAAACCCTCCGTTCTGCGCGATACTTTGCACCGGGTGCGTTACGCTACAGCCAGACTGACAGGTCCGCGCTCAAACATACAAATTTACGACTCGAAATAAAGGAGGGAGCTGCATGTTCTCCGTGGTTACATTTTAGGGTAAGAGATTGGATCCGAGATATCCGCGGTCATGATGGTTGAAACTTTCGGCACTTTGCGCTGCTCTTACTACTTCACGCTCGGGTGCGTGGCTCGACAGACACAGTGACGGCTCCGCGATGAGAGGTAGTAAATCGAACACGGCGCAGATTACCGTAATTCAAGGAGTTGAAAACAAAAATGTGCCCAGGGAATAAATGGCCTGCCCTCGAGTCGAACAAGGGGCTCCCTCAAAACGAGCTCATGCTGTGGCACTGCAAGAGGGTGTGTTACCGCTACACCACCGGGCCATGGCCATGTTTGAAAATATTGATGGGCTATAATGTTGAATCCAACATAGAAGAGGTTGAAACTCCCTGAATTCCCCGTACTAAGTTTTTTTTTCTTCTGAAGTACTAGAAGTCTGCTGAATGTCCAATGTTTGCGGTCCAGGGCTTTTATCGACTGAAACGCGCCATAATATCGCGTCACGCTCTTCCCAACCATCACCATGATCAAGCCGCTGCCAGTGGTCTCTTCCAGACGGGTCAACTTGGGCCACCGTAAATCATGGCGGATATTCCGTTTTTTTACCTCTTCACCCCACGACGTTCAGGAGGTCGCTAGAATCGAGAGGAAGGAAGGAAGGAAGAGCATGCCATGATCAACCATCACAGTTTTACTTACGTTGATCACTTGTGTTGAACAGTGCTTGGCATTGGCGTGTTTACCGATGGCATCCCTCGTGACACTGCCACCTCTGAGTCTTCGGCTGGCATGTCAGCTGTCTTCAAGTTGAGACGGGGGCGCAAGGCGTCCTCACACCGGTCCAAGGTCACCCCACCGCCCGGAGCTGCAGCCAGCTTGCTCTCCCAGGAACTCTGGGACCAAATCATCGATCACCTCCACGACGATAACGGCGCTCTGAAATCTTCAGTTCTCATCTGCCGCGCATTTGTACAAAGAGCACAGCTGCACTTATTCCGGTGTTTGAGACTCAGATCGTGGGACGATCCATTTCCCACGACACTTGAACACTTCATCTCTCGCTCCTCGCATCTTCTCGACCACGTCTGCGACCTTTCGATCTGGAGGTGCGATGCAAACTTGACGCTTCTTGCGCATCTTCCCTGGCCACGCCTTTCCACGATCTCTGTCTCGCATTATCTCAAGAGAGAGATATCGCTCCCAGCGATTGACTTGCTCTGCATACTCGTTTCTCTCCCCACGCTTCGCAGTCTCTCTATCTCCAGTACCAGCTTCACATTGGAAGAAATTCATACTATTCTAGCAAGCTGCAGCTCCAACGTTCTCAGCTTCCGCTTCTGCGGCAAGCCGGAAATTTCGCAGACTGCGATCCGCAATCTTCCGCTCACAAGAACTGAGCTGCGGCCGCGCATCACCCATCTAGATTTGTGTATAGAGGCTCCTAGTTTTTCATCTATAGTTGTTATCCCACTCGATTCTGGCGGCCCATTCGATCTATCGTGCCTCACGCACTTTAGCTCCGGCTGGTTCCTCGCACAACTCCCTCGGGTTGTTCTTGGCGTCCAGCACACCCTCCAACACTTGGAAATCATGGGTTTAGGTGTGTATATATCTTCCTACTTGTCCCGTTGCCGTGGCTGACGGGAGCAGAGCCTGGCATCGAATTTCTTGACTTCGGCACCTTCCCAGTGCTTTCTCAGATCACCATGAAGCTTATCGGGCCCCCGGGAATGGACGCCATCGCGCACTCCACCCGCAGTAGTGTACGCGCGATAACCTGCCACGCTTATCTGCCATCCCTGGCAACAAAATTGGTGGAGCTCGAAACTGCCATCCTCGCTGCAGACATGCCGAAGCTCGCCTGTGTCGAGGTGCGCGCGTTCAAATATCCTGTGGTTCGCGCTGTGTCCATGTCGCGCGTTGCACGGTGGACGGCACAGATCAGGGGGCAGCGAACGCCTGTTGAGATCCAGCCGACCGATGAGCAGCTCTTAGAACTCGCTAAAGAACAGATGCCGGCTCTCAGGCAGCGTGGTATCTTGGTAGTTGAAGTGACCGAGCTTTCAGACCAGGCTGAAAGGGCGTCTTGGAACTAGCTAGATCGGGTGTGTACAGGTTTCCGATTGTTCTTCAGGTCTGCGCATGCACTGACCAAGCTTTATCAGACGAACGAGGACTGCCATTGCAAGTCGAATCCCGGCGCCTATGCAACCTTTTTGCGGTTCAAAACATCTGATTCACGATTGTTCGCGAAAGCACATGTTTTATTTGAATTTGCGGCTGCGCGACTTAACTATGTAGTATAAAGTGCCAAAGACGATAATCAAGTCGGAGAGGGTTGTAGCGGCGAGCCATGCCTTGAGAAGAGGCAACGTTAGCACTGGGGAGGAAGCGCGTCCAACAGAAAGTACCAACAATGGGGGGTTTCAGCGAATGCAATAACAATTCAGGGAATCGTCCCGCGCGAATGATGTCGATTCCAGTCCATATCCCTCCGCCCCATTGCACCGTAGTGATTTGGAATGATTTCAGTGAAACAACCTTTGAATACGTGAATTTCGACAGCGATCACAGCGGGCCCGACGTACCAAGTTTTGGCTATGACGGATATGCGCCACGCAAAACAGATCTGCCCTACGCACACAACTTCACACCCGCACATTAGTTTCCGTGGATCGTGTAGAGAGCTATGCGTACTTGTGGATCCGAAAATTGGCACTGAAAACCACACACACCGCACCGTGTCCAGAGATTCCAGGTCTCGAACAAAAGCGTCTCGATCGTATTTCGGCTGTCCCCAGATGTTTACAGTATTTCGGCGACGAATATGAAGGCGACGACGAGTTTGTTGACTTTCTGATCCTTCTTGAAAGACAGCGTATGAATATCTGACGGAAAGCAGCGCGAATTGAGACGATGTGCATACGTGCTAGGATGTAACACACAAACTTGGACCGCGAGAACCCCGAGAAGCGCCAAATTAAGACTGTCTCGATAAAGGTGGGAAGCTGAAATCAGCCAACAGAGTTTCGGTGCCCGATACCAATCGACGCACTAAAGGAAGCGTACTGAGAAGAAGTGAGCTGGAGAACCACAACGACCTGGTGTAAGTACATCTTGCCAACGCCGAGCTGGGGCTGAATCTCGGACATGTTGAAACGAAAGAAAAAACAGAAACCTAACGTCTAGTAAGGGTTTTTAAATTGAATGTAGATCAGAACAGGCAACACCATGGAATAACTGTGAAAGGAAGAGGTAGCCAACAGATGTGACAGGATAAATACTTTAGAAAGGGAATCGTCAACTGCGTTTATTGACCAAAAAGTGACCAAAGCGCTGCTCACGTACGCATGCACCGCTCGCGCACCTGGCCGCTGCACCTCCTACCGTCTCCCCTGCACGAGGACGAAATCATTGCTGCTCCCCAGTAACACCTCCAAGGCGCCGGCGAGCATAAGCCGTCAGCCTCAAAAGCACGGCCACAACCATAGGTAGACGACATCCATGGCCAGAATTAGCCTGCCGACAGGGCTAAACGCAGGGGCAAGCCGTTCTGGAGAACGCCTCGTCGCAGATTCGGGGTGTCGGGTACCCTCCTTCCCTCGTCATCCAAAACATATGAGCTGTACGCGCCTGCGACGAAGGTCAGTATTCTAGAGACAATTTCGAGGGAAGGGAAGAGAGCGGTGGAAAGAGATGCATGCAGCCGGGAGAGAGAAGCACAGAAAGGGTTTATGACGGGAAACGGAGCGTAGGAAGGTGGGCAAACAGCAAGAAAGACGTGCCTATCGGCGGATTCTGCCCCAGCTAACAGCCCGAGCATGCACCAATATCGTGTCGTCTGAGCGGAGGCGAGCGCTGCGAGAAACGCATGAGCATATCGGCAAGCACTGATAGGGAAGATACCATGTGCGGACTAGGGATGGCTCGCGTGCGACGAAGCTGGGGCACATCCTGGAGGATCGGTGGGTTGGCGGGAAAGAATTCGAAAGATAGACGGGAGGACCGCGCGGCGGTGTCGTCTACGCCGTTGTTCCGATGCACAAAGGCGCGGGGTCGTTGTCGCCGTCGGTCTAGCATTGGCAAGTCAGGGAAGGGAAGACGCCGGGAGGGCTTGCCACAGAGAAAAACCGAATGGCTCAATGAGCAGACGCAGGACTCCATCGGCCGATCGGATGCCGTCACTCACAGCCACAATCAAACATCCTTGTCCCAAACGCCCACTCACTTGGACTCGTCGCTTATCGAGGCTCTCGCTCAGACTCTCGGCAGCGGTCTCATTCCAGGCTCCACGGGAATCACTAACGACGGGCTTCCACCAAGCGTCACGGTATACTTACTACTGTACTAGTAGTCTCGACTCTCGACTCGTAACCTTCATTCACTGGGCGCTCAGGCCCAACTCAGGCCTCAGGCCTCAGGCTTCGATTCGGCACCCTTGACTTAAGTCTTTTTTGCAACTTTGTCTGGTATCGTAGACGCCCCCTGCCATTATGAGCTCTCGGGTGAGTACTGCCGTGTTCTCACCCGCTGCTCATCGATGGAATTTTAGCCAGCGGTGCCGTCGTCTGTGTTAGAGTTCAAAACCGAACATTCACAGCAGCAGCAGGCGCAGCAGCAGTCTGCGCCGCCATTCTCTGCAGATGGCCATTTTGCGCCTCCCCAACAACCAGTGACCTATTCGCACGGGTATCCGACGCCACCGTCCCACCTCACCGCGCTGTCGCCAGTCTCGCTCAAGTCACAGCAGCATCAGCAGTACACCTTGCAGAGTCGAACTCCCACTGATGTCTTGTTCCCGCTCGACAGTCGATCATACCAGACATCTCCTTCGCACTTGAGCAGACTCTCGCCAGGGCAGCCGCGGCCCGCTAGCCAGCATCAGTTTCCTCCGCCCCGGGCTACAGCAACCGACACCTTTCTACTCCCCGCCCCCACATCATTTGACCCCCGCGCGAGACGTCCCTCTGTATCCTCGACCTCGCTTTTCATTTCCGAATCTCGCATTGAGCTGCGACCGGTACAACAGTCCCATTTGTCTGCGCCTCCCGCGCAACAATCCTTCTTGCATCCAAATTCTGTGCCCCTCACGCAAGGTCCCGTATCCTATGTCCAAAAGCAATATTCCGACACCGCTCCGTCGCCGGTATCGACGAATGCATTGAACTCGCGGCCGAATCCCCCAGCGCAAAACATGACCTCTCGGTCTGCGCCTGCACCTGCGCATTGGCCGCCGATGCCCACTCAATCCAGCTCCCAATCCAGCGCCTCATTTTCCCCGATGTCTTCATCGTCGCACTATAGACCCTCATACCCGCAGCCA